GTGCCTCGTATCTGGGGTTGATAAAATTTCAGGGAATATAGAACAAGAATTTTACATAATGATAAAATTTTATATGAGCCTTTTATATCATTTTCCCATGGTATTTGCCATATTTTAATAAATCTGTTACACCCACAAGAATTTCACTGAATTTAAATAAGAGAAATTTGAATTCCCACCAAGATCTCTGTCTCTCTCTCTCTCTCTCTCTCTGTCTATATTTATTCACACTCCTTGGAAAGGTAGAATGAAAAAATACTTTATTGCAAGTATATACACACCTTCTCATTGCCACTCTCCGCACCCCTTCTCGAGGACAGCGCTTGGCATTATTCCTGCCGCTGAGGGATAGTCTATTGAATAATATTGTTATATAATCACCACACAGTGTAAAAAGACGGGTGATATCGTTGCGCATTGGTAAGAAACTCAATTATACAGTCCGCGATAAATGGCAGGAAATTTCATGACAAATAATGGATGGAATTCCTAATAAGATTCTTCTTCTGTGGTGAAATGGGAGCGAGACTGCGTGCTGAATTGAATATATTGCCGATGACATTTCTTTAATGCATTCCCTTCCCGTATCTATGTCATACATCTTCGCCCAGGAAGGAAGCGCCCAGGCTACATTTTGCCACATGCACTGACTGGCATTCCGTCTGACGTGTTCTGCAGCGAGCCAAGTCCTTGTCAATAGCTCAAAGTCATGCTTATGACAGTCCGATAATAAGTGCATAACAGAAAAAGGCACTTTTCTTCGTCTTTCCGTCTTTTGCAGCATTTGTCAGAGTGCTTGGAATATTTCTTCCACACAATCCTTGAGAACATGATTCCGTGTATCTCAATTTGTCTTGGCCGATATCGAGTAAATTGTCACTTGAAAATTCACACTACGACTCTTTTTCTCTCTTTCGCAGTTCATTTTGAAAAATGGCAAAATCTCTACTTTCCATAAAATATGCTTGTAGTCTGTAATTGACAACAACTTGTAACTTTATCGGCATTTCACCATATTTATTTCCTCTCCTCAAACTTCCGTGATCCCGCAGCAGGAAGTGTGAAAATCCCGGGCATCGCCTAGTAACTCTCCGCATTCAGCCATGGAGAAATGTGTGGTGAACTCTCTGGCAGTATTGAGAGAAGGGACGAGCCATAATAAATTATACAGTGGAGAAATTTATAACTTGGCTATCATTATAAATAAATACATAATACATAAATAAAAGTGGAACACCATGCACAGAAATTGAGTTGTCATTCCGAATGAGCGGCACGTACGTGTGCTATTCAATTCGTGAAAATATGCCATCATTTATGATTTTCAATTTGCTCGCCTGCGAACATCACGGCTGTTGGCAGCGCAGAAGTCTCGCGAACTGCCCTCCAGAGGGTTGTATTGTGATAAGAGAATGATACTCTTCCGGAATACACTCGACCTAGAATACACAATTCTTCATACCACTTCCCAGAAAATGAGAAGCGGCGAATGACTGATGCATGCAAATTCTAAGTAAATATCGATATGCTTTTAAAGATAAATAACAACAAAATCTATGCAAAACATCTTCATTGCACTAATTAAATAAATGATTCAGACAATAAAAGTAGAAATGCATATGAAATTCTTTTCACTTTTGCACAAAACCTACAAATTAAGTCCAGTGTAAAGTGTGGAAAAACATATTGCCTGTAGGTTTCCACCTCTAAGAAATATATTGCAAGTTCTGTTCTCATTTCCATGAATCTTTAATTAAAATGCTCATGATCATTAATCTGTGTGAAGAATTTCAATTTATGGAGAGTCTTCCATTTAATTGACCCACTAATAAACAATGTACACATTTTTGCAGTGATGCTTCATTAGCCAGCAGTTTCTGGGCCAGAGAATGCCTCCGTGTTGAGCGAAGGTGGAAGAAATTTCATCAGGTAATCTATTAATTGATCACAGGAGCAATTTGTACTGTGTGGTGTTCAGATGGAATTTGTACTGCGAGCTTATCAAAGAGCGACCAGCATCAACACCCTCCCGTTCAATTCCTCTGGCTCCTCACACCCTCTCGGTGCAATATATAACCTGCAGAGCGCCTCTGCTGAGCCACAAAGTCAGAAAAGGGGGTGCGAAGGGCGCACAAAGGTGGGCGAGAGCCAATCACTCTACCCATGAATTCCTTTTGCGCCGGAATCGAAAGTATGTGTGAGAAAGAATCGAAGGATTGAGAAATAAAGTGGTGGCAGAAATGAAATATACTTCCCACCCTCCGGAGCAACTGTCCAGGGGCTGATACAGAAGTGAAAAAAATATACGACATCCCGGAGGATCGTTTGTGTCTAATCTGACATATAGGCGTCTATTTATCATCGATAAGCACATTTTGAATAAATGTCTGTGGTATGTGTTTTGATTTTATCAATTGAACACCACAATTCGCTTCTGCCACCGGAAATTTGAGCGGGAAAGAGGGGGAAAAGTCCTCCACACTATCCAAGACAATTCGCCATCTTTCATCTGGAAAATATTTTCGAGGGAAGTTTTCAACCCTCACTCTCAGAATATATGTTTGAGTTCACTTTCCGTTCCCAAAATTGAAAAAAAATGTGTTAAATCCAATATTCAATCATCACTATTCAATCTCTTAACCCAGTTTAAAGAGCTAGCTTTAACGACTTATGTGTGATGCATACGAATGTATGTAAATATTCCTCGAATATATCTCACAATACACAATAAATTGGGAAGAAATCATCATAAACATCCATGCCACATGATGCTAATAGCCTTGGTGAATTCCACCCGCTCTGGAATTTCCTCGACAATATTTTAATGTCATTTTACTTATTTTGAAATATATTATCAAATTTGCTCCACAACTGCCACAAGCAGTCACATCACAAAATATTCATGACAAATGAATCTCAATCACACGGGAAAGGCACTCGGCATGGAGTCTCGCCCTACGACGCTTCCGGGTGGCGTTTTTCCACCCCACACGCCGAGGCGGCACACCAGCTGGACCACGACGTCTTCCGGGCTGGCATGTGTCCCCGAGGATTTCGCCTCTGCAAGCCGGCAAGTTTTGGCTGGCGCGTGAATATTTCACATTGGAATATTCAGTTGCGAGTATCATCCAAATGTAATAAGATGTGGCATTTGAATATCGTCGGGACATCATCGCAGTCGCTGGGGACAAAGGACCCGACACCCGATGGTCTGAGATGAAAAATACACAAAGAAGTCACAACACTCAGGAGGCGGTGTGAGTCGCGTTTTCGTCATGTTGTCGTCATTTTCCCACCCAATGCGGTTTGTATTTTTTCTTCTTCGGCTCCTCCCCCGCCCAATGTCCCCGCGGGGGCACCACCACTACCAGGGACACTGCGAAGGGAATTCTCTCCGCCGCACGTTGCCATACATTTCGGCTGGGGATGCCCTCGAGGGCTTGACATGTACGAATTCCAAGGAGCGTGATGATATCTAAATTTGACGTCTTTATAAATTGTTGCGAGGCAAGGCAAAAAATGAATAAATGGAGCTGCTCGATGGAAAATCGCCACTAGGTATGTATGTGGTGATTGCGGGTGGCGATGGTAAATAAGTCATCATTGTCAAGCTCGATGGCTTATTTCAAGAAGTACAGAAGAATTTATTTACTAACTGTGCTGACATTTCATATTACCAATCGGAATTTAACTATAATTTTTTGAAAGGAAGTAGGATAAGAGATCACACTTAAAATCACTGTTAATTTTCTACAGATGATATAATTCAGTGCAAATGTTTGCCCGATGAGGATCTATATATAATATATATTTTATTTTACAAAAGTCCAGTCATTTGAACTTGCCAAAACATTTTCAGCATTTCACAAAACTCTCGTGAATATGTGCAAATAAAGTGAAACTTGTCTTTTCGTTAAATTTGCCAACATCAAGAGTGACTGATTCCTATTCATAATACATCCTCTTCGACCCACTTTCTCGCCCCTCAGCCTGCCGCTGGTCCTATTGATGGGTGTGTGGATGCATTTCAAACACTCACAATGGATATAAAGCACATCACGTACCATTTCCTGCTGAATTCCCAACTCCCTCTCTCGCTCTCTCTCTTTCTCGCTCTCACTCCTGTCCTGCCGAAATCCCGAGAGTGCCCAATAATAGGATCAGCCCTGCTCCACATATATTTTTCATTTTCACGGATTGAAAAATACATGCAGGAAAATATTGTGAAATATTTGTCGAAGTGATACGTCGAAAAATAAAGCGTTTTATTTCGAGGTGGTACAAGGACGTGCCCGAAATAACCGATAAAATTCCCGCCGAATACCTCGACATGCGAGAGCATTCCTGAATTATGAGGTTTTCCCCATGATTTCCCCCGCGCGCATGTATAAAATCTTCATCACAATGTTGGATGGTGGACACATTTTTGCATATGTGGAGAGAAAGTGCGAGGGTGCGGAGGAAATTGCGGACAAAAGTACAAATCGTGTGAATTGATTGTGGTTCAATTTGAATTGAATTACCAAATAGATTGTCGCTGCCTATGATCAATTACATTGGCCTCCACTGTATTCCACAGTTCAGCATTTTCCATCATATTACACCCCAATGGGACCATTCGGCATTTGGGGAATGATTTTACACACCTTTGACATTTTCTCTTCCTGCCCCAATTTGCCTTTCATTTGAATTTTATATCATTGCTCAAATATCTCTGAGGGAATAAATAAATTCTTTTTTCCTCCGTGGAATTCGAAATGTGGTGGTAAATTTATCAATAATTTGGAGCATTAATAAGGAGAATAAAAAATTTCACAAAATCTACAAAAAAAATATTATGCATGTTGAATTTTGTTATTTTTTCAAACTTCAAATTTTGTTTGAGTCTTGGCTAAGAAATTCTATTCGTTCGAATTTTCAAGACACATCAGAAGACAACATTACCGATTGTCGGCAGAAATGTCCGATGAGACCAGCAAATTGACAAATTCCTTACAAGGTCGTCGTGTTGTCAAATAGGCATTTGCAAAAATTTTCTCTCACGCAAAAATCACGGGATTTTCGGGGATTTTCCGTGCTCTCAGAGCATTTTGCACTCTGGAAGCGACTGCCAAAGGCTCCCAAGTGCGTGACTGCGTGGCACAGTAGCGTGGAGACACGATTGCTAGTGATTTTTTCGTCCAAAGAATGATTTTGATATGACGTGTTGCCTCGAAGAGCAAGAACCTCCAGAATTTCCATATGTCAGACGTAAAATCCGCCGAAGCTGATAAAGTAACTGATACAGCGAGTGGGGAAACTGGCGAGACCGTGGGGAGGAATGTAACATTTCAGAATCAAGGTAAGCCGCCCAGGAATTGAAGGTCTGCCTCTGGACAGCACTTCATCGGATTCTCTCTTTGCAGACGCAGCGAAATCCGCAAGGAAATATCACAGAAATATGATTATTTACTATGGAAAAGAGGTAATCTGTATAATCGCATTAGTACTGACCACGTATGCAACGCTGCAGAATAAGTGAGTGGCTTCTTCAGCACTTCCGGACGCCTGATTCGCTCACGCAGGCTCTGTTTTTTTGCAGTGCCACCCGGACGTCGCGCCCGCCAGTGCCAAGACACTTCTTCTCAGCCGGATCGCTGGTCAGCGACTCCCCGGATGGACGCTTGGGCCCCACACAGACCCGCGTCACGTTGTCAGAGCTCTCATTCGTCCTGTACTACGCTCCGTGGTGCGGGAACAGCCAGAGAGCGCGCGAGGCGTACGACCACGCGGCGCGGCTCTTCTACAGGGACGCGCATTTCGCGGCCATCAATTGCTGGCAGCCGGGCGGAGAGTGCAGACTGCAGTACTCGAAGGTCCAGTCCTGGCCAGTGCTGATGGCCTACATGCCCGGCGGCCTGGCGGTGCAGTTCAACGGGCAGTGGCTGCCCAAGAATCTGGTCAAGTTCGTGCGTTCGCTCATTCAACCCATCCAACGTGAGTATCTGAAGGGCTTCTCTTCCTCTTGACATTGTCACTCTCTCTCTCTTTCTCTCTCTGGACAGGCGTCAGCATTCCTAACGAGCTCCTCAAGATGCTCACCGGACACGATGCCGTTGTCGTAGCGTTTATGGACATGGAGAAACACCAGAAGGCGTACCAGATGTTCTTCCAGACAGCCGTGAAGTTTCTCGAGCGCGATCCCGTGCGCGAGATGCAATTTGCCGTCGTGACTGGAGAGTCCGCGAAGGCTTTCGGCGTGGACACAGTGCCAAGCATTCGGCTGTATCAATGGAACGAGACACTTGAGTACTTCAACTCTACATGGACAGTGCCCAATATCACATCCTGGATCGTGGATCACAATCAGCAAGTGACTCTCTGGATGTCACCGCCGGGCACCAAGTCCAAGGTGTTCGCGCAGTTCATCAAGCAAGGCGCTGGGCTGCTTCTGTTCACGCCCAGGAACTTCTACTGGGACTGGACGGACGGCTACACGATGATGCGACAGATGGGCATGGAGTACTACAACTGCCTCGGCGACAAGTGGATCAACGAGATGTCGCGGGAGTTCATGACGTACCAGCGGAAGGATCATCACTACAATCACGTGGAGTTGAAGGACATGTGTGAGGATCTGGTGAGGAGGCTGCAGCGCCAGAGTCCGTTCGGTAGTGCATCACAACCGCCACGGCATCGCTCGATCTCTGTGCACTTCGTCAATGTGCTCAACTCATCCAAGAACGTGGAAAGTGACCTGTTGCGGGACATTTGCCACATCGAGGAGGACGCCGTGTCCAAGTATACACACCCCGAGGCGCCTTCGTGTCACTCGCGGAGCGTGCAGAGTGAGAGGCGGCATTGCGACGGAGACTTCTTCGAGGAGTTGTCCAGTCACGCGCAGCCCTCGATGAATCCGTACGACAAGCGGAGTCCTGAGGGCTTGCGCAGCATCGCGCACAGGCGACAGTGCGAACTTCTGTATCACGGCGAGATGATCCAGGAGGCGATCTTCTTCAATGCCAGCCAATCGAGCGCCGACCTGGCAGAAGGTTTCTCTGGATTGGCGTGCAAATACAACAAGACAATGTCGTTCATCGTGATCGACAGCCTGACTTATCATCCGTTCGCCGAGCGCCTGGGCGTCGATGTTCTGGCCCAGAAGGACAAGAGTGCGGTCTTTATCATTGACCCCGAGGTGCGTCTTATCTCCTTATGACTCTCAACTTTGCAAAATATATTAACAAATTCGTCTCTTTGTAGAATGAATCGACATACTTGATGAAGGAGGAAATCTCGCTGAAGAATATCATGCAATTCGTGCGGAACTTCTTCCAGCGACGTCTCAACAGACACCTCAAGACTTCAGACGCGCCCACGCGATTCACCCACATGTACTCGAACACCAATCACACTGGCATTAACTTCCACGTGGTGTCGGCGAGGAGCTTCGTGGAGAGTGTATTGGAGTCCTCGAGTACGGATGTGGTGCTGTTCACGTCCACAAATTGTGCCTTCTGTACGATGATGTCGCAAAATGTGCTGCAAGTGGCGCAGATCCTGGGCAAAATTTCTCACTTGCGCTTCCTCAGCATCGACGGCGACCGTAATGATTTGCCGTGGCAGTACCAGATGGAGTACTTTCCCACGTTGGTCGTCTTTCCCGGTCACAGCAAGGCCGAGTCGCGCATCTTTCCCATGAATCTGCCCGTGACTGTGCAGAACATCCTCAGCTTCGTGGTGGCGAATCTGGAGCGCTCCAGTCGCCTGCAAGCCATCGTGCTGGCGTGTCGCGCATCCAAGAAGATACCCTCGCTGGAGCATTGCATCGACGTGCTGCGCGTGGAGGTGGAGGATGACATCTCGGAGAGCCTGAGGCAGTGGCGATTGAGGGCGCACAAGCGCTCCTCCATTCTCAGGCGCCTGCAGCTCCTGCGCGAGCTGTACTTGCATTTGTACAAGACAAATCAATTCTGTGATTTTAAGCAATTAGAACAGTCGGTGAGGCGCATTGTTAAGATTTGGAGTTGATGAAGAATGTGAAGCCTTTGTTATGAAATTGCTCTGTTTTTTGCCTGAAATGAAATGAGCGGACGTGAGTTAGTTCCAAATGACGCAAAAGGACTTTCATTACGCTTGGCAGATTATTGATTTCTAATGCCCATGAGTCGATTAGGGCTGGTTGGTGCTAATGACTGTCTCTCTGTGATTAGCGCTCCGGCACGCAAAAGGCACCGGACGCATGGTCTTGAAGGACGAGCCAAAGGGACAGAAAACTCCCCAAAATTACATGTTTCAAGCTTAGTATTCGCAAATTTTGCATGTTTTTATCATCAGAAGGGAGAAATATTCGCGTAAGTTATTCTAGACTTGCAAGTTATCCTGCAATTTTGTATCCTTCTGGTTACTTGAAACTTTCGTTGAGCGTTTTTATTCGGAAAACACTCGGCATTTGTGTGGGAATGTGAAGGAAAATTCAATCACTTCCACAGACTAATCAGGAAATCACGTAAACTTGACCACTAATGCCGAATAGATTTATTGATTCTCAGGTTAATGTCTGTTTAGTGGTCAAGCGAAAAGGGAGTGAAAAGCTGGGTGAATAGTGAAATATGGGCTGCAAAACCTCTTCTTCAGTCACGCCAGACATCGAACAAATTGCCAATCAAAGCAGAGCCATTAATGTTAAGGTGATAAATTGTTTCATTAATTAATCATGACTATTTCTGTTATTCTTGACTATATATTATTTCGTCTCAGGATGGCGAAACATTTGAGAATGCCTTTCAGAAGCTGGATGAGGAGATCTTGCTACTGGAGATGCGATGTCCAGGAGCCAGATTAGCCACAGCAGAAGCCTGGGTGGAACATCTTGAGAGCCTGAAAAGACAAAACGAGCTTCCGATTGATTTCTCCGATGATCCCTTCACTGTCCAAGACACGAAACCGTCTCTAAGCAGCGAGAAAGAGGATCTTCACAAGGTCCGTACTGTACGTATATTAATTCCCAAGTCTTAAACTGAATTCACATTGAAATACAATCATGTAAATAGATTGCTCTTCAGCTGGGAATCACTGTCGATGGAAGAAAAGCAGTTGAACAAGAGGAATTCATGGCCAAAGTGAGTGCGAGATCAATACATATCACTGATGATCAGCTGCATTTGGAGATGATTCAGCATGGTGAACAGAGAATTGAGGATTTGAAGCAGGAATTCACCAGGTTGAAAAGTCTTTACGAAGAACAGGATGGACTTTGGGGTAAAACTCTACGTGTTTTTGCTCAAAATTATGAGACTTAACATTCTCTAATCGTTACAGCTTCAATCACTGGAGGAATTTACAGTTCTGCTCTGGAAGAGAGACTCGAGCGGGAATTGTCTGAGGCTCGCCAAATGCGTGACAGACTCGCTTCTGTGGCTGAACAGTGGAGAACTTCCGGAGCTTTGCTTCAGGCAGCCACAAAGTGTTCACAGCAAGTTATTCAGTATTGGAACTTAATTCCTCTCACCCGGAAGATGGACGATAAATTGTCTCTGGTTCTGGACTGTCGACATGCTCTTCAGGCTGCCATTAAAGCGTACGAAGGAGCACAAAGTGCTCTGCCTCAAGCTGAGATCCTCCGCAACAGACTTCTGGCGAGCGTGAAGAACGCCAGTTTGTACTTGATCACTGACATGGTGAATGAGAAGAAGTACGAGCAGGCCAAGAAAGCATTCGAAGACTTCCAGGAGATTCTGACCGGCACTCTTTCATGGCTCCAGAACACCTTCTCAGAGAGTCTGGGGAAAGACATCCGTGATTCCGAGGAAGTCATGGTGCAATTGGCCAAAAGACTGCGCCAAGAGAGACTCAAATTCATCGCCACACAATTCAGACACGGCGTTTATTTGCCACGGAATAAGGAGAGGTAGCAAGGATTACCTATCAGGAGTTAAGATGAGATGCATCTCCTGGTCGGGTTTCGCGCCCTTTGGTAAGTTCTTCGCCTTCCGTCGTCTTCTGTACCAACCTCTGAGGAACGGCGCCAGAAGTCTCTCGTCTATATCGTCATGTCCGCCAGTCAGAATGCTCACAGGATAGCCCACGATGAAGACAATCATTGCCCCGATCACTGAGTAGTACATGAAGCCGATGCGGAAGATCCAAGGCACGTTTGAGTTGTCGTGATGCTCGTTGAGGATGATAGATGTGGTGTTGGCGAATTCCGGGTTGTTGCAGCCTGTGAGATTGAACGGAAGACTCGTGTACTTGAGATTTCCTTCCATGATGTTGAGCTGAGCGCCGAGAACAATGCCACTGACAATGATTAGGGAGGCATAAGCACCCCAACGAGCGCCTGTTGTGTTGGCGCGCGGACAAACCATGCCCAGAGTGAAAATGCCAAGGAGAGTTCCAGCCGTGACGCCTCCGATTGAAATTCCCAAGCTGAAGATATTGCCTAGCTTTTCAACGACGAACACGAGGCCAAGACAAGTGGTTCCGATTACGACCACCAACAGCTTCATAATGCGACTGCCCGTTTCGTCAGACAGCGAAGGATATCTGCAGAAAAAGAAAAGATGCTCAGTGAATTTCTTGGTGAATATGCAAGATTGGAATGTCACTTCATTTAGAGATTTGCGAAATTTGCAAGGTTTGTTTATAAGATATTCTTCTCAAAGGATTCGTCATGATTTTCTAAAAGATTTATGAAATTCAAGAATGGCGTGCCACTCAAAAGTGATATAAAGCAACTTCTTGCCATTTGAATACATTCAATTATTTTTAACTCACTTGTGCTTCACGAAGTCCATGTAGAATGTTCCCGCCAGAGTGTTCATGCAGCTGGACATGGAGGACAGCGCGGCTGAGAAGATTCCCGCCACGAAGAGGCCAGAGAGTCCGGGAATGGACGAAGCAACATCCAAAACGTAGTAGGCAAAAATTTGATCGGCTTTCTTCACAGATCCGTTGCTCACGGGATCACAATCCGCGTACTTTCCATAAACTATCAATCCGTTGTAAACCGAGCAGAGCTTGATGATAATATGACCGATGCCGAAGATCCAGACGACCTTCCGCGAATCCGACAAGGTGGGAATGGCCAGGAAGCGCTGAACGCACTCAGGCGAGACGCCAATATTCGAGATCCACATCGTTGTCAGTCCAATGCTGACCATCCAGAATGACGAGCGCACAAAAGGATCTGTGTTCATACTGGAAAATACAAGATTAATATTATTTTTAGATACTGGATGAATTTGCACAACAGATTTATCTCCCGATTCAATGCCTTTCAGCGTGACATAAATTACACGACATTATCGCAAGAGCCGTGAATCATAGACAGTGCAAAGAGATGAGATTTCAGATGCTAAATGGAATGATCAGATAAACTCACTCGAAGATAATTATCCGCTCTCCGCGATCGGCAATTCTGAACACTTCGGCGAATCCGCCCAGCATATTCGTGCCCATGATGATCACTACAACCAGAGCGCCAACCATGAGGAGGAATTGAATCTGAAAACGAGCCACAGATCAGCACAATTCGTCGTGAATTGAATGTAATTTAGACACACTAACTATTTCAGACTCTTTCGTTTGGTGGAATTATTCACAATTGCTCTTGAGCGTTTGACTTCTTTAGTGAATTGCGTGAGCCGCGTGAGCAGTAAAGCAGCAAATTTTATCATTGATTGGAAATTAATATTTAGAAAAAAAAATCATGAAATTATTGGATAATTAGCATAAGATAATAGAAACCGTTCACGTATTAGGAAAATATCGGTTAAATCTGCGGTTAATAAATTACTGATAAGTTAATTATAAAATCACTTTAAGCAAGTGAATATTAAGTAATCTAAAAAAAAACCTTTGCACTCATTGTTAACTAGAAAAATATCCTAAAATCTCGTGAATTGTAGAAATTGTTCACGCAGTGAATTATTGGATGTCGCATTGAGAGAAGCTCACCGTGTCCGTCCAGACAACAGCCCTGATGCCGCCGATCGTGGTGTAGAAAATGCAGATGACGCACATCACGGGCGTGATGATGTGCAGATTGATGCCCGTGACTTGGCTGAAGGCGATGGCGGGCGCGTAAATGAGCACAGGAACGCCCAGGATGGTGCACAGCGTATACAGTCCGCTGGCCAGGTTGCGCAAGCTCACGCCGAAGCGCTTCTCAAGATAACCATAGCACGAGGTGATCTGCAGCTCCATGAAGACGGGCAGATAGAGGTGTGACATGGCGATGGTGACCACGAGTCCGGAGATGGCGCACACCCAATACTGCGTCCCGTGAAGGTACATTTCCGCCGGCACGCCAAGCATCGTCACGGCCGAGATGTGTGTGGCCGTGAGGGAGATCGCCACCGGGAACACCCCCATCTTCTTACTGCCCAGCAAATACTCAGCCGTGGTGTTCTGCTTCTGCGTGCGACAGAAGCCAAAGTACACGCCAATGAGGCCCGAGATGGCCAGCATCGAGCCGAACACGATATAATCGTACACACTGAAGTACAGCTCCATTGCTGCCAAAGGAATCGTCACGCCGCGGCAGTCACTGGCCTCCTACTAAATCCCATCGCGCAGCATCGCAGACTTTTTATCACGCTCGCAACCTGCTCTAATCCGAAAGCTCCTCATACCGCGCGCCTTATCTGTTGCATGGGAGGAAATTCGCAGCTGTAAATCACCGCGAACAACACGTTGTAAATCTCCGGCGCAGAGGAAAACCTCCACAGACGGCTCCCGTTCTCCCTGCGTCTCAAAAGTGCATACACACAAGGCGACACAAGCCCAAAGTGGTTCAATCAATCCTGCGTGGGTCCTTTTATTTCATTTCATTTCATTTCTCAAATTCAAAATACTCATCATCTTCAGCTATTCACGCGGAAAATTCAGCGGCGGGACGTCTTCTGCCGGAACAGGACTGAATGCAGAGCGTCAATGTCAACTTCGAGAGCCTCTTTTGAGGACTTGCTGGATTGTCTGTGCAGAAAAAAGAGATCAGCCAGCATTAAATATAGTTGAGAAACATAGCCATAAAAGTCTGATACTTCAAGATTAATCTCAACATCTTCTCAGCGCCTGAGATAAAACTCCACGGAACATTTCATTGACCCTCAAAATACGCAGCACTTCGCAAAGTATGACTATTCATTTTGCAAACTCTTTCAACTTACGCAACGCCTTAAATTACCTTTTTCTTTCAACATAATGCTTTCTCACTACAGATTTCCCACAATTTCTAGAAGAAAGTTCTGAAAAATGCATAGAATTAGTGCCGCATCCCAGAAAACAGTCCAAATAGTTGTGATAAGCAATGCGTGCGTTGACTTTTGAGGAGCTGGGATTCTTGTGAACAACAACTGATATTACGGCTTATTATTTTTTCCTATCGATCGCAATGTGTGGCTTTAAGTGAAATTCCAGCTCCTAAATTCTGTGATGGTTTCAGTGTGCGTCTAATCATTTTCATCAAAACTTTAGCAATTCTTCCATTAATTTGCTTACAAAAAACTTTTCCCCATTGCGAAATTTGGACACCAAACTCACCTGGAGAGGCCAGAAGGGCGCTGGACAGTATTGGCGGACTTGGGATTCACCAGCAGACACTTCATGGGCAGTCCGTCCAGCTGGCGATTGTGGTAAGTGTCCACGGCCTGCTCAGCGTCCTTCAGACCCTTGAAGATCACTTCCGCTACGCCGGGACGCACGAGACGCGCCTCCATAAGCTGCCCGATGTCCTCGAACAGCTCCACGATGTCGTTCTGTGTCACGGTCGGATGTAGATTGCTCACCACGATGCGATAGCCGTCCGTGGCGGGCGGCGGAGATGGCGTTGGGTCGCGACGCGCGAACATGCCGGCCGAAGCTCGCGGATCGGGGGCGCGCTCGAGGCGGGTGCGCATCTCATAGCTCAGCTGTGAATTCTCGTCCGGAATGTAGCGCCGCTCCACGATTCGTGGCGGGGAATCGAGGCCGCCGCGGCGAAGAATGCCCTTGCGCGGAGAAAGGGACTCCGAAGGGCCCGGGTAGACCTGGAGACTACTGTACGGCACACGAGGAGCATCTCGGCGAGGTAAATCATATAAATCGAACGGATCCGAGTCCGCAGACCAATTCATCGGCCGTCCGGCGCCCCCGAAAGCAAAGTCGTTGCTTACAGTGCGGCGCAGCACGGGGGATTCGACTGGAAAAGTGATCTCGTCGGACTCCATCCGATCGTGGTCAACATAGCCGCGCGGCGCTCCGATGTACAATGTATCTCCCGGATCATTGTAACCTCGCGGCGTGACATTCCGCGGTCTTGGCCTGCCGCCTCTTGGTCCATTCGGCAGTGGAGCATTAATTTTCCTCCCAATCTTCAGTCTGGCGTCACTCTTCCGTGCGATTTCACTGAGTTTATCCCTGGCATCTCGAATCTTCGAGCGATTCCTCTGGATTATCTTCAGCCTTGCGTCAAAAACCGCCGGCTTGGCTTGATGAGATTGCTTCGCCTTCTTCACGCCCTTGTTCTTAACGCTGTGCGGGAAACAATTTTCACCACGTGTTAGACAAAAACAGTAAATTTCACAAGCAGCAAAACTCAGGCAAAACGACAAAAACTCACCCCAAATCATTCTTGACATTCTTGGCACCTTTCTTCCCGATTCCCCCAATTTTCTTCTTCTTTATGATATCATCCAAGCTCATGTCCACTTCCATCTTGCGGAGCAGTCTTTCGGCTATCGTTAGAAGTACATCAAGTGAGAATATTTGAAGATATTGCCAGAAATTTGGACATAAAATGATTGAAAACACAAACCAAATGCGAGCCAAGAAAAGCAATGGCGGATCCTGTCGAACTGTCACTCAACTGGCATGCGAGCGGCGTCTTTTGTTGTTTTCGAAAATCCCATTTTCCGGTTATTTTGCATGTTCACGCATTTCTGAGGAAAAATGTTGAAAAATATATTGAAAAGTAATATAAAAGTGTACCAGAGCCTCTTTTGTAGAGGCAAAGCTGATCGGAATGTGCTGAAACTCATGGACAGGGAAATTATACAAGACATCTTCCCTGACACTGCCAGGTTAGGTTCACTTGTCCTGGAAATTTTTGATTTCACTGAAAACGCTGAATTTTCATCCTTTTCAGCGATGACATGAGGAACAAGTTCACCAAAGAGACCCAAACTCTCTATGCCGGCTTCGATCCCACCGCTGAGAGTCTTCATGTGGGAAATTTACTGGTCATTATGGGACTCTTACATTGCCAGAGGAAAGGTCACCAGGCGATCGCTCTACTGGGTGGAGCAACTGGAATGATTGGCGATCCATCCGGCAGGAGCACAGAGAGATCACTGCTGGATGTGGCCACAGTAGAGAAGAATCTCTCCAGCATCGGGAAGCAGATTGAGAGCGTGTTTGAAAACCATGCAAAGTACTTCTGGAACGGTGACCAGGAGAGATTGTTGTCTCCGAAGATTCTCAACAATGCTGACTGGTACAGATCAGTGAATTTGGTCGACTTCATCTCCACCATCGGACGTCACTTCCGAATGGGTTCAATGTTGTCACGATCGTCTGTGCAGGCGCGACTGAACAGTGACGCCGGGATGAGCTTCACAGAGTTCACTTACCAGATGTTCCAAGCTTATGACTGGCTACACCTGCTCAAGGAACACAACTGTCGCTTCCAGCTTGGCGGGGGTGACCAGATGGGAAATCTGAAGAGCGGACACGACCTGATAGGCAGGATGGACAAGAGACATGTGTACGGAATCATGCTTCCCATCGTGACTAACGAGGAGGGCGACAAGTATGGGAAGTCAGGAGGAAATGCCATCTGGCTGGATCCACAGAAAACCTCCCCGTTTGCATTCTACCAGTTCTTCCTGAGAACTCGAGATGCAGACGTAGAGCGATTGCTCAAGTTGTTCACGTTCGTGCCGCTGCGGAAGATAAAAGAACTCATGGATCGCCATCGAAATGTCCCCGAAGTCCGGGAGGCGCAGAAGAAGCTGGCGCAGGAAGTTACTCTCCTCATCCACGGCGAGGAAGGCGTGAAAACGGCTGAGAATGTCTCCGAGGCACTCTACGGAGGGAATATCAATACACTTGGCGAGCTGAGCTACAGCGATGTGAAAACCACCTTTCAAGGAGCGACAGTGACTGAACTAATTATGGAGCCAGGACTTTCAGTGCTGGACGTGGCTATGAAGGCGGAATGTTTTTCCAGCAAAGGTGACAAAATCACTCAAAATCATTCCGAGATTTTAAACTCTTGTTTTCTTTCCAGAGGATGCCATGAGAATCATAACTGCCGGAGGCTTTCGGATAAACAATCAGCGGACGACGAATATAGCTGAAGTCCTCTCTCCAGGGATTCACATTCTCAAGAACGGGATCACATTGCTGAGGGTCGGCAAAAAGAACTACTACGTGGTAAAGTGGGTGTAGAAATTTCTGTAGCGTAATAATAATTAAAGTATAATTGTAATTCGTTATGCAGAGCGATTTTGAATCGCCCCACTGCGAATCGGGAGAGCATTTTCGCGCTGCGCGAAACGTCAAAAAAGTGAGCAACTTTTCGAACATCATCCGCTCCGCGACTGCGGCCATTTTAGTTGAAGTGAGAATCGCAGCTGTGGTGGACGTGTTTTTCCGCAGTTCAGCCAATTTGTATTTGCCAGAGTGCCTCATTTTGGTGGAAAGAAGCGCCCCAGTTCGCCAATTGCGGTGACATAGCAGCGAAAAGTGTTGTGTGACCCCCTTTGTGACGCCCAAAACCCGAGTACCGCGCCGAAATGTCGGAAGAGAAGCAGGAGAATGGCAGTGCGAGCAATGGAGATGTCCCGGAGATTGAGCTTATAATAAAGGTGAGTCTGTAGCGAAGGGGCGCGCGTGTTTTGTGCCGAGGGCTGGGCGTTTCTGGACGGCTTTTGCACGACGGCCTTCAAAGCCGCATAAGTCTGCGGCGCACGCGAAGCCGCCGCCGCCGCCTCTGTGTGCGCAGCGGCGGCAGGACAAGCTTCTCCTCATTGTCGTCTGACCGTGAAAAGGAGGCAAAAGAGCCAGACTGCCGATTCGGGGAACTGTATTTCTGACTTGAGGAGGTTTCTGTGAGTGAAAACAGCCGATTTGAAGGATTCTTGCAAAAATCTTGTTAGGCGTGGTTCGACTCAAGTTGGATAGATTCTTATAGGAAATTCAAGTGGAAGTGTGATTATTTAGTACTCAGTGGAAGATAATGCAAGGAGCGTGAGTTTCTTTCATTTGCTTCTTCGAAAACCTGTGATCGCAACACGCAAAATTCGAAAATTCTGATCTGAAAAGCCAATTCGCCTTAAAAATAATTTAAATATGAATTTGTGAATGTAAACAAACGTCCTGCAAGGCAATGACAAAGAAATAAACGAAAATGGTTTTTTAGTACTAATTTTTATAAACCATATAAGAAGACGAAAAGACATTTTTTTAAACTCCCTTCGTATATTTTCTTTCTTATGGAGTCCAAATAAGTGTCTAAATTCACGGCATAAATTGAATTTTTGCAAAATTCTTTCCTGAACCTTCGAATATCGATCTTGCTTGTTGACAATACCTGTGACCAATTGCATAAGAATCCAATCAGTCCGTCTACACTTCAGTCACATTTTACCCACGTAAGCGCTAATTGACTGACGTCTTATCGCACTCGCTTCCAAACTCTTCATAGATCTTGCGGTGAATTTCCGCGGAAGGGAAAATAAATATGCCATAAAATCAACTAAAACTTCCTGTGTGTGCGAAAGGAAACGAGCGAGTTTTCCTGCACACCTCTCGAGTGTGTCTCCAAATGAATGAGTTGTAAAAATGGCACTTTGCCGAGTGCCTGAAGGAAGACAAGGCGAAAGGAGAACAGAAATTGAGATAAGAACAGCAAAAAGATCACAATTTATCACTTGATTTGTCTCTGCATGTCTTTTTTTTTGCTTGTGTTTCATGGCAGAGGTGACATAAAATTTATGGCACGGAAAAATTGGTGAAAAGCAAAAGAAGTGAGATTTCAAGAGAAATAATCGCGCGATGATAACATGCAGAGACTCTCGAGCAATTACAAATTGCGACTCTTCGGAGGCTTCAAAGTATGTGCGCGCGAAAGAGTGAGAGATTAGAGAAATTCCATAAAACACTCCCTTTCTAATTTAAATAGTATAATCATGACTGCACACGGTGGGGCGGCAAATTGGATACAATTTAATATATTTACCTTTATAAATATAAATATAAAAGAAAGTGTAAATGAATTTGCGGGCGCGAGAAAGAAGTAAAAAAAAAATGTTTGGCTAATTGTGTGTGCACCAAAAAATGTATATATGTTTAATTGCAAATTGATGAATCAAGTCAAAAGATGCTTAATTTAATACCTGGTATAATTTGTTATTAATTGTTTCTTATGGACTGTGAGAGAGGGAGAGAAAAAATTCATGTCAGTGTCTCCGAATAGTTTTATTTAATGCTTATTTCTTCGCCGAAATGGCGCGCAAATTGACTGTAAATTATGAGTCTTGGGGGGAACCTTTGAGCATCTTATGAAATTGTCCGTGAGAGTTGTTAAGTAACTAACATGGCAAGAAGAGTATCACACTTTTTGTCGCAATTTTCGATAAAAGCTCAGGCAAAATGAATGGAGAATTTATTAACTTTTGCAGACTGACCCAATTTTCCTCGTTATGCAGCGTCACAATGCTTTGCAATAAGGAAAACTTCCATATTGTGTCAATAAATTTGAGGTGAAAAGTACCTGAAATGCTTTGCACAGTTAGAAAAGGGCATAAAAAGCACAATATTTGTATAAAAAAAAAACGGATCACGACTTGATTTGAATACAGGCAATATTCTCTGATTTATATTGATAGTGACCTTCTTGAGTAACACTGGATGCGCTGTTGAAATACACACACACGCTCACACACTTGAAATTGTCCCACAAATCATCTTTGGCGCGGTACTGAAGAACAGATGATAAAAAGCAAATCAATTCATGCACTTCTTTGCACGATTTGCGTGCTGATATATTAGAAAGTTATTAATACATAATTGATCATAAATATTCAAGCATTTCTCAGCTGTGTATATGTGTGTGTGTTTGTGTGCATATGTATAATCTGTTTAAAGTCTTTTTTCATTATGATTACCGCGGATTTACCGTGCTGCAGAGGAACATAAAGTCATGGGTGGCTGTCAGAAAGAAGAAGAGATGTACTCTCTGTTCTCTAATATGGGAGCCAAGAGTGTGTTTACACTCGGAAAACATAGGAGAACAAACAGAGCGTCTGTATGTTAGTTGGAGTTTTATTGAAACTTCAAATTACACCCCATATTTTTTGCTGGTTTGCGCACAACTCAAGAATACTCTTTTTTCCCGTTAAATCACTTTTTTTCCCTTCTAGTGTGTGTCTCTCATTCAATTCTTCAGTTTTTTTTTCTCCATTTACAAACGAAATTGTGTGCGTGCACACATGAAAAGAATAAAAAAAAGTGGGGAGATAAGATAAGAAATAAGTACGGAGAACACATCTAATCATTACACGAAAAAAAGAAACAATAAAGTAATAGTGGAAACCTTCAGCAATTTTTCTCTATGAATGTATAAAAGTACCTCGTGTTTGTTTGGCGGAAAAGCGCACAGCATAATTCCAGTAATACTCATCAGGCCAGCATTGATGACTTAATAGTGTGTTATAAGTTTCAGTGATAAGACGAATTGAGTGACTGGGAAATGAATTGACACACGAATGTTCCACTCACTTTCTGATTTCTCTCTCTCTCTCTCTTGTTTTTCGTTTCGCACGCCTTCAATGGGCCTCACAATTGTCGATAATCAATTGGGCTTTAACAATCTATTTAATTTATCATTTTTCGGCGTGTTTTGTAATTCAACCATATCGAGGTTGGGCGCAAGTACTTGAGCCCTGCGTTAGAAAATTTAAAAGCGCTTCGGCGACTAGTTGAGATCTGTAGTCAAGAGATAATATTGGAAATTACGTAGTCTTCGTGGTATTTCTCAAGTAGTCGCCTTAAGAACGCATGTGATAACTTTATCTGGCATTGTAGGTCTATAAAATTAAATCTAGGATGTTTCTTTTAATTTCGTTTCTTTACAATCATTCTATGTGACACATCAGCTGTCATTCCACTGTTGTGTTGATAAGAGAAACTTACATATTTTATCATTCGACTCTGTAAAACTTATAAAATGCTTCTTCTATCTGAGAGAGAAAAAAAAACCACGAATATTAAAATAGAAGGCACAAACAATTCTTGTTCAAGAGACATACATTTTGCCTCGTCACTCCAAGTGTTAATTGTTTTGTGAAAAATTACACAAGAATGTGTTAAATGTAGTGGATTATGTGAATTATTTTCATCGTCATCTCATATTATCAGAGAGTACGGCAATGAGAGACAGAGAGAAGAGTGAAATATAAGAGTTAGGGCGACGTTGAGATATGATGAGAAAGAGTGAAACACTAAAGCTTATGTGTGAATTTAATATCAAATTCATTTCCAACACTGAAAGTGATGATAAATGAGAAGACATGGCAATTTTTGTAAAAGAGACTCTCTCTCTATTTCCCTGTCTCGCTGATCTTTCACTCTGCATTTCTTCTCTTTCTGTTTTACGTGCGGAATTTATTTTGCGACATAACGTTAAAAATGACAACAACCAGTTTTTATGCTGGTGGATTTTATTGAATAGCAGCAAAAGCGCGCTACTCACAATAGAAGGTGAAGATGAAGGCAGGAAAAGAGTCAATGGAAGATGGAGAAAAGGAAGGTGATGCTGAGTTGGTGGCGAAGTATCAAATTCACTTTCTATCAAACTAGACATACTAGTTTATATATTTATTTTATTTATACATACAAATGAGGTTTTTATTGGCCGTTATGTGTCGCTATCGAAACCATGATGTGGATGTGCGATGAAGAAGAAATTTGATGGGATAATTAGGATAGAAATAATAAGTAATGACTCACTTTTCCATATCGTATGTTCCTTCAATTGCATATATATCTTAAAAAAAATACGAGATGTAATGACTGAAGGCCTTATCTTGAAAAGGTGTTTTCTTCATGTGACATAAAAGGTGTGCAATGTGTGATGATAAAAAGGGAGATGAGGAAAAATTTGTGTGAGAAAGTCAAGTTTTTACTCTCGTGTATTTCTCATATTTCCGTCGATTGCCAACATTGGTATTTTATTATAAAACTTCCTCATTAATGGTGTCTTCTCTCTTTTTTTTCTTCTTGTCTCACTGTTTGAAAGGGTATCGCACGTTATTTTCGATTGTGGAACATGATTGAAAGCGAGTGTGTAAATTGGCATTCCAATCTTATCTGGAGGGTATATAAATTTGATAGGACCAATCGCCAAAATTAGACGCACTCCTTTTATTCTTTTATTTAACATCTTCCCAAATGGCAAAAACGATCTTTCCGGGCAGATTAATGATCAATAAAAGAGAATTATTCTCATAAATAAAACCCAGCACTGCGACCAGTGATAAGATGAAAGCATAAGCGTAAAACTTACGATGTTGCAGCAATTTTCAGATGAGTTTCCAAAAAAAAAAACATTAATTAGCACTGTTAATGAAGGACTCGTTGAAGAATTCCACATGAGACTTTGCTTAATGATAAAAATTTCCCAATTTGTCTTACGAAAAGCACAAAACTGTAAACTCATGCGATTCCGCAATATTTTATCGTTAACAACTCAAACAATAATTGTTGAGTGAGAGAGGGTCGTTTGTGTTGTTCACTCATTTACCTGTCTCCTTAATTGCAACATTTTATTTAACACTAAACATAAACGGCATACTTTATCGTGTCC